TATAAGCTCAAGGACACACCTCTAAATAGGCCCCTAAATCTCTGCCCTTTTCTCATCCTTGGATCTCCATATAACATGTAGAATGTGAGCATAGTCACTGGCCAGCAGTGCAAGAAGGAACAAAAGAAGGAAAATGAAATACTACTATTTTGTGTTGAACCATGTGGATTGTCAAAGAACAAACAAGAAAATCATGGCAGAAATAAATAACTGCCCATCTGAAAGGTCACTTAATTTATAGAGTAACCTGTGTGTTATTTACCTAAACTTTAGCTCAAGAAGCTGTCCTTGGTACTTACCAAGTACTTCTTCCTGTTTTGGTGGATGGTTAATGTTCCTTTTCTATACAGTTTTGTATATATAATCACATTCATTTGTAGCATCTTCCTTTGGTACTGTGCTTATTAGGAACACTGCCTGTCTGATGAAAAGTATCCCAGCCACTGGGAAATAGCAACGGTAGATCATATTTAGAGTGCTAGGAATCTAGGTCTCTGTGTAATTGCTTACTTTTCAAAGACATAAAATGTGTGTGATTACATTACTAGTTAAAATCAGTAATAGACACAAACATGAAGTGAGAGTGTCATGCCAAAGGTCTTTTGTAATTTTTTAAACCAAAAATGTGGGATTTAAAACTGCTATATCAAGATAAGTGCATGGCCATCCATAGAAAACAAATGTAGACACTGAGAATGTCTCACCATTACGAGAAGATATTTCTAACCAGAACCCTTCCTCTTACATTACCACTGTCTGCGTTGGATAGACAATCTGATCTCAGCAGCCTAATTCAGTACCTAAAAGTTACAGGAAACCCCTCAATTTCAAGGCATTGAACTAAAGCCAATGTCTCCCTTAAGGCAGCTTCTTTTAGGAGTATGGAATGTTTTGCCCTCGAAATGTAGTTCTCTTCTATATCTTTCATCTTTGTAAATCACAGCTTCTTTCTATTACTTATGTTGAAGATGGATCTTGTCTTTGATATCCGTTTAGAAAACTTTTTCCACCATTTATTGACTAATAATTTTAATGATTTGATTCCCATTATTTTTCTTTTTTTATTTTAAAGATAAAAGAATGAAAACATTAACAAACACACAGACATAAACAAAACAACATAAAAGCAATAAAGAATTTCAGACAAGGTGATAAGAAATTAACAATGGTTGTTGTATTACATATTGTTATCTTCAAATTGGTTACTCAGATAAACAAATATAGGCATGTAAGATTGATCAATTAAACATTAACTGTTCCTTTCCATAAAGCAATAGAAATTAGTACTACAATTAGGTAGCTTGTGTATACATATATACATATTTTTCCCTTCTTTCTTTCTTTTCTCATTTCCCTTGCCCCAGTTGTTCTATCCTTTTGAGCACTTTCTTTCCCTTTCACAATATCCATTGTACCTTTTAGATTTTATTTACTCTTTAAATTGTGGAAGCAACCCAAATGCCCATCAACTGAGGAATGGATTAAAAAGATGTGGTATTTTTATAGAATGTAATATTTCTCAGCTATAAAGAAAGATAAACTCGAGGATTTTATTGGTAAATGGATGCAACTAGAGACCATACTCATAAGTGAAATAAATCAGACTCACATATATAAACATCATATTGTCTCCCTAGTGTGAGATCTCATTATTTTTCTTTTACTATACACCACTCAAAGTCCTTTCCTGTTGCTGAGGAAGTCCATATCTTTGTCAAATTTCCCTTTAAACTTTGTATATACTTAGTAAACCAGTTTACATTCCTGATCCATGTAGATAATATCCGTTTTGTAGGCTTTTTGTTCTATTAATAATCAAGAAAAGCTGGCCTGGGGATGTGGCTTGGTGGTAGAGCACTTGCTGAGCAAGCACAAGACTCTGACATCAATTCCAGCACTGCAAAACATGCGAAAAAAAAGGAATAAACTACAAATATGTCCATTAACATAGTGTATAAACAATAAAGGTTAATAAAGTCACGTGATTTTTATCATAGTCATAAGCCTCCAACATAGAAGATGCTCACTAAATGTTAAATTAATGAAAAATATTCTGATTAATTAGTGAAAAATCTTATAAGTAAATATTTTGGCAGAGTACAGTGGTACAAACCTGTAATTCCAGCATTCTGAGAGGCTGAGGCAGGAGTACAGTACTGCAACACTGACGCCATCCTAAGTAGCTTAGCAATTTAGCAAAACCCTGTCTCAAAATAAAAAAATATAATATATTTTTATATTATACATAAAATGAGGGCTGAGAATGTAGCTCAGTGCAAAGGCCCTGGGTTCGATCTCCATTACCACAAAAATAGAAATAGACTTTATAATTTTTAACTTGAAAAATGCACCTAAGCCTACAAGTAGTTAAGTTTAACCCAGGTATCCTCATGTGTCTTTAATTTTTTATGAATAGACTTTATTTTTGAAGCAGCTTAAGTTCATAGCAAAATTGAGCAGAAAGTAGAGTTCCTATATAATCCTTGTCCTTATCAAGGAAGTCTTCATTATGATCATCCTCTTGCCCCAGAATAGTACATTTGTTTCAGTAAATGTGCACTGACACATCATTATCACCTAAAGCCCATAGTTCACATTAGAGTTCATTTTTGGTGTTATACATGCTGTGGGTTTTCAAAAATGTAAAGTAACGTGGGTGTTCCATGGTGCTATCATAAGAACAGTGTCAGTGCCCTAAAAGCCCTCTGTGCTCTACCTGTGCTTCACCCTACCCTCTCTGCTAACCATTGGAAACCACTGTCGCTTTACTCTCTCCACAGTGTTGGTGTTGCCTTTTCCAGAACATTACATAGTTGGAGTCATGTAGTACATACCCTTCTCGAATTACCTTCTTTTAGTACAGTGGTGTGCATGTAAATTTCCTTCATGTATGTCAATGGTTTGATGTCTCATTTCTTTCTGGCACTGAATAATATTCCATTCTCTGGATATACCACAGCTTATTTCTTTGCCAACTGAAAGATATCTATGTTGCTTCCAAGTTTGGACAATTATGGATAAAGTTTCTGTTATTGTTCAGATCCGAAATGTCCCCCTAAAGGCTCATGTTGAAGGCTTCATCTGCAGTGGATCAGTGTTCAAAGCCAGGGGCCTGGGAAGGATACTGGATCACGGGTGCTTTAACTTCATCAGTGGATTACTGAATTCAAAATCTGATGACATGGGAGATGATGAAAACTTCAGAAATGGAGCTTAGTTGAAGGGAGGGAATCATAGGGGTGTGCCGTTGGGATCAAATCCTCAATCTTCCTCAGTCGTATCCAGTCTAGTAATGGCCCATCAAAGGCACTTTCATTTCTGCTACAGTACTTTTGATCTCTAGCATTTCTTTTTTATTCTTTCTTAGAATTTTCGTCTCTCTGCTTATATTATTTATGTGTTCTTGCATGCTATTTTTCATTAAAGCCCTTCAAATATTCATTGTAGGTTTTTTAAAGTGTCCCAGTCCAACATACTTGCCATATCTGTATCTGTTCTGATGTTTTTCTGTATCTTCAAACTGTGGATTTTGCCCTCCAGAATACCTTGTAATTTTTATTGGAATCCATACATGATATTCTGGTATAAAGAACTCCAGCAAATAGGCCTTCATTTGCATGGAAGAAGGAGAAACGTTCTCTTGTACTCTAGTCGGTGGTTCTCAGTCTTTTGGTGAATCTGTGTTCTGGACTGTGAACTCCATCAGCACTTCTTAGTTTTGTTTCCCCTACTCTTAGGTGGGACATGACTGGAAGGAGCTGGAGTTGAGAATTCCCCTTCCCCCAGGTCAAGTATACTCTTTTAAAACCCCAGCAAGTTAGGTTCTGGTAAAATAATATCCTCTGAAGGCAGGCCTTGTTATAAAAAACAGAATGATCTGAAATACAAAATAGATAATACAAAACAGGGAGGTAGAGCTTTTTCAAAAGGAAAAGGAACCAAGAGATGGACGGGGAGAGGAAAAAAAAAGAAGTAAGATGTGTTCTGTGCAATACCAACTCCCTACAATGAATGTGATCATCATGTATTAAAAACATATGCTAAAAAATTTTAAAAGTAAAACAATGCTCAGGCATTTCAAATTTCAAAATGGTTATTTACAACTCTCCTGCTGGATGCAGAAGAAAATTTTTTTGATATTCACTGTGAGGACCTGGTAGAGCCCTTGGAAGCAAAACTCAAAAAAGTGCCTCCTACCTTAAAGATTTTAACTCACAGCCTTGTTCATTTAGAGCTTCCAACAGCTGGTCAATTGCATTTTAATTTTATCCTTGAGGTTCCCTTGGAGGTTTCTGCTTATGGGTCCTTGTGATTTGGTACATTCACCTGTTTGTATCTCTAATTTGGTGGGCAGAGGTTTGACCCATAACCTCACTTTTCTGATGGATATAAAAAGACTTGTTGATTTTTCAGTTTCCTTAGCATTTTTACTTACTGTTATCACAAAGTAAGAACTTTTCATAGCCTCACATACTGGACTAGAAACCAGAAATCTTACCTCTTAATTTAAACATTTACTTTTTTTCTGCAAGACTAGTCAATACTACATTCTTTAAAAACATCTTTCAGCAAAATTACTGTGTAGGCAGTAGTCATTTCAAGGAAATTAGTCCTGTATTTTATTATTACAGGGCTCTTATTTGCTGCATTTCAGATAAAAGTAACTAATGTTCCTTGGAAATATCTTGGCATATTCAGGGTGGTAAATATGAACCATGGGACGTGAGGGTGATCTGGCTGTGATGTCTGTCACCCATTGATCCCAAGAGTTGAATATGAACCCTGATGACTTTTGTGTGTTAGAAGCCTGGTTCATTCGCAAAAATGTACCTTTGCACTTCTGTGCCTATTTCTTATTGCCATGGCCGACTCAGACCTGAAGTTCCTCATCAAAAGGAATTTTATACATATTAATTTAAAGTACCAAGTTTTCATAGTACTCAGGTGCACCACAGAGAAATCTGGGCATATGGTTTAACATTTACCACTGATTATTTTAGCCTTAGTATCACAGGCAGAGGCTCTCAAAGAAGAAAATGACAGCCTTCGTTGGCAGCTAGATGCCTATCGCAATGAGGTAGAACTACTCAAGCAAGAACAAGGCAAAGCCCACAGAGAAGATGACCCAAGCAAGGAACAGCAGCTGAAACTCCTGCAACAGGCCCTACAAGGAATGCAGCAGGTATAGCCATTTTGGTTTTCTGCACTTTTTGGAAGAGTGGCACCAGTTCTTCACCTATAAAAGGGGTCTCCTGCAAGAAAATAAAATATCAAATCTGCTATTTTTCTTGATGTTGTAGTTGCTGGCATGGCCAAGGAAGGGAGTATGTGATACTGTTAATGCAATAACCAATATTCAAAAAATAAGCATTCAATGAAATGCTAAACATTAAAATTACATTGGACACGATCTTCTCTTTTCTTTGTGCTTCAGAAGGTATTTTGGGATCCAGATAGGATCTCAGTGGCCTTATGAAGAACATCAATTATTTAAATATGAAAGAGTACTGATTAGTAAGTATTTAGCTGATAGACAAGTAATGTCAACTTTAAGGAGGACTGGCAAGAATACTATCCTCGATTTGAGTGGGAATGGGGATATTATGGGTCAGTAAGTCTGAGTGCTTTGGGTACATTATACCAATTTGTTTTTATATTGTTTTCACAATCATTTATGTCAATGAGCTTACTTGTATGTAATTCCAAGTTTGAAATGTAAAGTGATATAAGTGCATCCAACTGCATCAGGTAATAGGTGCTTAATACCTAGAAGTTTGATGTAACTATCACCACAGTGAACCCACAGCTTAAAGGATATCAATATCTGCTTTCATTAAAGTAAAAGAGGAGTGCTTCTTAGTAAGGATTCCTCTCCTGTCATGCCAGACTACCAGCCATTTTCTGTACAATTTAAATTGTGCAATAATTTTTAACTTTATGCCCTGGAATTATCTAGGCAAAGATAATTGCTGTTTGGAAATTATAAATGATGAGCAGGGAATCTCTTCTGGCTCTAGCCAGCCCCGTGTTATTACTTCTGCCACCCCTGTCTTCCTGTGTGACAGGTAACATCACATTAATATCTCACCTTTCCTATTAGCAAAATGTGTGAAGTAATGCTTACCTTCCTTTAGTGTCACCACGGAGTTTAATTAGAACACATAAATTATACCAAACAACTTTAACTATACACATTATGCTCTGTTTTTCAGCTCTTCCAATAGTCTTTTGCAAGCCTTTGAAATCTAAGACTTCAGAAACATTTTTATTTTGTTTTCTCCTCTCCAACACTGATTTTGAAATCGTTAAACATAAGAACATTTCCACCACTTAAATGCAATTTGGAGATAATGAACATTTTTCATTTCATCACTTCAAAGACCTCAGAGAACTAGGTCTCTACCTCCTAAAAATTAATTTCAGTCATTTGAATTTCACTACCTCTTATTGGGAAATAGCTTTGTAATCAAGGTAGTTAATTTCACTACTTTTTATTGGGAAATAGCCTTGTAATCAATGATAAAATTTCTCCCATCTTATTTTAAAAGATGTGTAGTACAATAGGTGTTTAAGAACATGAACTCTGGGTTTAACCTAGCCTAGTTTTAAGTATAGCTGTGCCACTTCCTATCTGAATGGCCTTAGGGAAGCCACTTCACCTCTCTAAGCCTCGAAGATAATAATATAAGGTTATTTTGAGGCTTACATTAGCTCCTTCACAATGGTTAGCATATATTAGGCCCTCAACAAATTATATTTGTTGTACTTTTTAATAATGACAAGTCCAACTCTTCCTACTGATATGGAAACTAACATAGGTGAAATGTGGACTCTTTACTACTTTCCTCATAAAAAGTGAAGTTGACTTCACAAATGGGTATTTGCAAGAATGCTTTACATTAAATTCACATCTATACAGCTATCAAAATATTGCCCACACAGCATCAGCTGCACCGTATCCTTACCCCTTACCAGCACAGGGACTCAGTAAGAGAAAGAATTCCTTAAGCGCTGGATAAAATACAGTGAAGAGTAAAGATTTTTCCAAATTCTACATGACAAAAGGATTCTGTGTGTGAGGGAAAGGTAAGGCAGGCCTGCCTGATATCTAATCTCAGCCAGGCTTTTTAAGCTACTTTTTAAGTAGCTCTTAGTGATGTAACTGTCTTTGGTCTTTCTTGTAGCATCTCCTCAAAGTCCAAGAAGAATACAAAAGGAAAGAAGCTGAACTTGAAAAACTCAAAGATGACAAATTACAGGTGGAAAAAATGTTGGAAAATCTTAAAGAAAAGGTACAAGAGTCTTAAGGGAGCCTTTTTCCCTGTCCCCTTTCCCTTTTCCAGTGACAGTGAAAATGCCTGGGAGTTTCTGCAGTAGAAATCAATGTTGAAATGTTTGTCTGGCTGGGGATTAAAAGCACAATTCCAGGATAATTCTTGTATCAACACTGCTCTTAGATATGAGTCTGTGGCATTACTAAAGGTTCTAGAGAGTATTTTTTTCAATGAATAAAAGTCAGTCCAGGTCAGGCATCATTGTGAATGCCTGTAATCCTGGCACTCAGGAGGCTGAAGCAGGAGGATCGTCGGGATTTCAAGGCCAGGCTGCACTACAGGGCAAGACCCTGTCTCGTAAAAATCAAAAAAAAAGAAAAAAGAAAAAAGTCAGTCCATCTCTAAAGTTCCTCAGTCTTCCCTCTTGGAGAAACCAGCATTCTGGCTTCATCTTTTTTTTTTTTTTTTAGAGAATTTTAAAAAGCAATAACAAAATAACAGCATAGACAAAAACAAAACAGAGCAAAAACAATAAAAAATGATAAGATGATAGGAAATTAACAATGGTTGTTGTATTACATATTGTTATCTATTGTTTTGGTATTGTTTTGTTTATTTCTGATTGTTAATATGTTTTCATTCTTCTATCTTTAAAATTTTTAAAAATGGTAGGAATTAACAGTAGTTGTTATATTACATACTGTTATCGTTGTCAAGCAAACAGCAGGGTAGAAAACTTATATGACACAAAGTAACTTCAGCTGAGTATTTCATTAAAGGAAGAAACACAGTTTCTTTGCAGGCAGTGGGTCCTGTATAATAATGAACAGCCACAAGTGAAAGTAATAGCCAGAACCAAACGGAGGAAAACCTTGGAAAGAAAGGAGGAGATGCAGTATTCTAAAGCTGAGTAATAGCAACAGGGAAGGCAAGCTGGTTCTTTATCAGGTGAGAGCCTGCTACAGTAAGGACCACCAAGGCAGTCTGCTGACGTCTGGGTGGACTGGTGCATTACAACCGTGAGTCAGGTGCCCAGTCTGTTGAAGGAGTATAAATGACCTCTCTGTCTCCTCTGTCCCTGAACACTCAGCTGAAGTTATTCTCTAAAAAGGAAGGGTCTTTGGCCAGATCTGCCTAATTTTAATATCTTTTGAGGAAGAGAAAAATTAGGAGCTTGGACCAGGAGTCTGAAATCAACAATTATACAGTTGCTGAAGAGCTCCTCTTCTTTATCTTCTGTGTTCAGCTCAGAAAGATGCAGTGCACAAAGGCCCAGGGTGCCTTTTCCAGCACAGAGATATCCCCCAGAGTGCCATTAGGAACTGGCAACCTTGGTGTAGTTGAAACAAATGATTGAAAGTGTTTTCTTCTAGAGGCCATTTGCAATATGCTTTTAATTCTTCCACATCATAAAACCAACTCACTTTCCAGTTTTGTGGGTGCTATTAAAGAAACGAGCACAATCCCAGAGAAACTCATTCATCAAGCTTTTAATTGAAAAGTGCCAAAGCCGTGCTACTTATCGGGACTTTCCTCATACTATCACAGCTTCTGAATTGTCCCCGAGCTGGTACATAGCTCGGTTTCACTTTACACATACAGTGGAGTGTGTAGCCAGAGGACTGTAGATAGATGTGGCAAGTGCTAATGACCTTACGCTCAGAATCACTCATCAGGATTGACATCGCAAACTGACTTAAGGACATTTTTATGTAAGTAGCTTTCTGCTTTGTAAAGCATTTCATTTAACAAAACAAGAGGTCAAATGGCCTAGAAGAAACTTGCCCCGGGTTGTGCTTGAGGAGAAATGTTTTCCATTGTGAAGCTGAATATACTGTGAAGTGGCAGCTAAACAGAGCAAGAAGGAAGATCCAACTGATAAGCAAAACACAGTGAGTCAGAATATGTTTTTCTCTTGTTATTTTAAGCAAAGCTTCTTTTAAAAGAATTCATGACAGTTCATTATAAACTGATCTTCTCTGGGAAGCTGATTTGTGACCAAATATTTCAACCTGACACAATTAGGTTAGGAAGCAAAGTACCATCACATTAGATGACAAAAAATAATTTCAGGTTGAAAGGAAAGCAATAAATTTCAGTGAGGAGAGATCCTTTTTTGTTGGTTTTGTTTGGGTTTCTTGACAGTAAGCCACAGTGTGAGTTATTGTCAGTGTTTCACAGTATAACAATGGGACCTATGTGTATCTTACTGCAGAAAAAAATTTGCTCTTTGAGTCTACTAGTCAAATTTGAGGTAATAAACATTATTTAAATATACCTTCTAATTTTTTAAATACCGGTTATAATAAAATTGAAATCAACTTTCAGTAAGACCATAGTTCTATTCAAAATGACTAAAACTTCTTAAGAAATCATGACATCTTAAATAAACCCCAATCTGTTAAACTCTCACAATTAAGAAATGGCTTACTGGATCACTTAATATTTTAAGGGAGTTAAAAGCAGAAGTGAAGTCTGGGGCTTAGAAGCAAGCTCATAATTTAAATCAAACTTGGCATAATTGTTATTGCCTGGGTTGGATTCTAAAGGCCAAAGATTGAGTAGGCTATCAGAGGGCCCCCTCTGACTACAGCCAGGAAGCCTCAAAACCCACAAAACAACATGGCTTGTGCCATAGACCATTCATTTCTTTCAGAGATACATCTGGGAAGCTTTGAAGACACCTTTAAAGAAAATAGACGGAATCCTGTCCCTTCTGAGGGTTTGTGGAAGGGAAGAAGTGACAAAGCATCTGAGTCAGCCATGATCTGCCCCTCAAGGAGCAATTGCCCAGCATTCTCTTTTACAAAAGTAAATGACTGAAGCAGTGATTTCTAAAAGTTCCTTCTTTCAAGTCTCTTTCTGAACATATATAATGCAGAAATATGTCCTCAACATCCAAGACAGAAAGAAAGGTCCATGGATGGTCTGGAGGTGTTTTTTATTGTCATTGCTGGGCTTGAGTTTTACCTAAGTATCTCATTAAAACTACCAACTACACTAAGCAAGATTAAAAATTTCAATGCCAAAGAAGTCCATTAACTAATGATATTTTGGTCATGGTCATTTCTTGCTGTAAAGTCTAGAATATTCTCACAGATGATGTGCCTACCAGAGAGAAGAATGGGAAACAACCACTAGTCAATAGATAGAGGCTCTGATTTTTAGTTCAAAAGGCAATAGCTGTAGACCTGCGAATGGATTGGCTATATTACAGATTCTTCACTGAGAGATGAGATTCACCATTAGCTGAGAATAAACGTAATACCTGAAGAAAAAAAGTGACCCTCTTAACAGTGAATGACCTAGGGTGAAATGCTGGCAGTGTAATTTTAGTCTGCTTACCTAATTTATATGATAGGTTTATGTCCCTCATTGGTAGAATACAGGTAATATCTAATGGTATCTGGTATCAAGTTAGTACACAATAAATGTTGAGTCTGGTTCCCAAGATTCCCTGTATAGAGTCAAGAATGATGAAAGCAGGGAAAAAGCACCAGTGAAGATAAATGTTTCAATTTTTCTGTTTTGAAGCCATATAAAGTTACTTTAGATGATCTGTGGTGCTTTTGTAATCCATACTGTTTTTCTCTTATTCGATCATCCAAACTGGACAATACTGTCTTTATGGTCCTATGTGTTTTTAAGTGTCATTGTTGTGTAGTTAATAGAAACCAACTCTGTTGCCAAATACAGTGAACTGACCCAGGAAGCATGTTATTCCCACAGGAAAACTGTGCTTCTAGACTCTGTGCATCAAACCAAGAAAGTGACTACCCTCTTGAGAAGACCATGAATGGCAGTCCTATCAAATCTGAACGTGAAGCACTGCTAGTGGGTAAGGAAGCTAACACACACACATACTCATAAGATATAGTAGAGGAAGGAAGGGCTTTACATATAATTAATAAGCACATGCCAAGCATTTATGAAGCAGGACAGTATGAAAAGCCAGTGTCCTAAAGATGATGGGATAAGAGCAAGTATAGATTTCCATAAAAACTGTAAGAGCAGCTTCCAGCCCTCTTGAGCTTCCTGAACAACCCTACCACATCTAGTGTGTCTGTACAAGCATATTAAAAGGCGCTCAGCTGCAGAAGGACACTATAGTTTGGTTTTAAGTCTCCATGCAAGGATAGCCGAGCCTCTCATATCCACGCAGGGGACTGGTGCACACAGTGTTGAGCAAAGAGCTTTTTTCCAGATGAGGCTCTGAAGCAAGTGTCTGACTCGCAAGCTTTTCCAGGCTACTGGCTACTTTTACTCATGACATTTCTGACACCAAATAAGAGGGTAATTTTTTTACCTCCTGACACCACGTACGTAGTATCTTTTCTAACTACACTATTTCTCCAACTTCAAATGGGTGTCCTACCATTCAACTCAGTTAAATTCTGACTCCCACTAGCCAGAGTTACCTTCATATTTCACGGGTGTAGCCACTAAGTCTCACAAATCTGTCCTTATTTTAGATACCAGTCTCAAATATCAGCTCCCCAGATATGTCAGCTGCTCTTTGCTATCACAACTACCTGCAATAATCAGCATATAAAGAGAAAAAGGTTATTTTGTTTCACAGTTTTAGAGGTTGCAGTCCTTGACTGACTGGCCTCGTTACTTTTGGACCTGTGACGAGGCCGCGTATCATAGCAGCAGTGTGAGGCAAAACCCTTCACTTCATGGCCAGTATGCAAAAGGGGCGGAGCAGGGCTGGGGTCCCAATAACTTCTTCATGAATGTGCCCCCAGTGGCCAGAAGACCTCCTGCTAGGCCCCACCTCTTAATGCTTTTAGCACCTCTCCACAGTGCTGTGGGACAGAGACCAAGCCTTTTCACATAGGCCTATGGAAGACACTCCAGGTGCAAGCTACAGCTCCAACTTCCCCCACACTGCTGTTCGATTTGGCTAGAGTCACAACTGCCACCCCACAAGTTCATTAATTTACTAGAACAACTCACAGAGCTCAGAGAAGTACTTACTGACTATTAGTTCATTTTAAAGGACACAACTTAGAACAACCAAATGGAAGAGGTGCATGAAGTATGTACTAGGAGGGTTCTACAATTGTACGTTGGTTCACAAACTTAATTACTTAATTCTTTCCATGATTCTGGTAGAAAACCAATTTGGACAAGAAGCAAATCAAATTCAGTAGATAATTCAGTGCTGACCTTATGGGGAGATTTGATTTGGTTCACCTCCATTTCAGTTTGTAACCAGAATTGTGGAAAGAATTAAGTTGGTGTACCGAAGTACCACTGTGTGTCCTTTCTGGGCATGCTACCCTCCCTGCATCTCGATGTGCTCACCAACTGGGAAGCTCTGAACTCCATCAATTAGAGGTGTTTAGCAAGATTTCATTATATAGGTGTGGTTAGAGGGAAGTACTGAAAATTCCAAGCCTCTAATCATTCCTTCCTCTGACTGGCAGCCAGACACCAACCTGAAGCTATTGAGGGTGCCCCAGGCATTTATAAACATTTGAAAGATACTCTGTCACTCCAGTAATTCCAGAGTTTTAGGAGCTGTGTGCCAGGCAGCTGGACAACTATCAAATATTTATTTCTTTACTACTTCATATTGGCAGATGACTCAGGAGGCTGGATATGGTGTGTTGGACAGTGGTGAGCTCTGACGAAATAAATGTTAGTATAATGTATTGTTCTCACTGTAAGAAAATTCATTCAAAAAGTCAGTGTAGCACAAATGGTTCAAGAATCAGGCAGACCTATCTTTCCATGTTGACCCCACCATTCCTTTCCTGAGCTTCAGTTCCTCTTTCTCTATAATAATGTCACCAACCTCAAAGAGCAGTTGCAAGTATTACATATGATAATTAGCCTAAATCACTCAGCACTGGAGAAGCCCCTTCTAACACTTACAGTGCTATTCACAAATGCTTGTTGGCTTTATATTCCATTTGGAGAACAGTGGCAGACTGAGGTTCTAAAATATTCAGGGGGGATAGTTAATCCCAGCTGCCTTGTATGAAGTTGAGCCACACAGTAGCCATGCCCTAGTCTCCAGAATCTTCCACACTGACTGACTTCTGCATATTTTCAAGGTACACCTCCCTCCTCTGGTAATGGGTATCTTACTCAGATTTAACACTTTGATATGTTAATAAAGATGCACAGGAGGATCTGCCATTGAGGCCTCAGGAAAAGTGACAACTTTCAAGGATTTCCAACTCGATTTTTAACAAATCAGCATTGCAACAGAGACATGTCAGAGAAGTGCTGGGTGCAGGAAGCTTCTGTAATGGATAGCCTGAGGGGGGAAAAAGTGGTTCTTAAAAATAAGTGTTTCTTGTTCTGTGTTTTAAAGAATGTAGTCTTGGGCTAACAGAGAGAGAGAAAATTCTATTTTTAAAAAATCAGCTCTTTGAATGTTAACTCACAAAAACTGCTTAGTGTTTTTAAACTGTGGAGTTATTTCTTGGCATTTGACAGTCTTTCTTGGCCATGACATCCAGAATTTCTTTGAATGTGTACCGTCTTCTTCAGAATTTAAATTTCTCAACTACAATCCAGGTTGAGAAATTCAATTTACCTAGTCATTTAAGAATAATGTCGTGTTAGAAGCAGCAGCATCCGTTTTGAGCAGATTTTGAGCTCCTTCATCAGTTCCTCCTAAAGTCCTCCAACCAATCTCTATGCCATCTAATACTTGAAAGATTTTTTTTCTCAAACAACTGACTGCACGTCAAGTTCCAGTTCAAACTTGTGCTATTCTTTGTCATTCTTGTAAAGGGACAGAAGAGTATTTGTTTGGTCTTTTTGAGACAGGGTCCCACTATGCAGTTTATAAACCAAATCAGATTTCACTTTCTTTTCCTGGCAGTTTTCAGCAAACACAAATCTGGGTCTGTTTAATGTCCAAAGATCATATAAAAGGAGATGAATTCAAAATACTTCAAATAGTATACAGTATTTTTGAGCAATTTCTCCACTTGTTGCCAGAGAAAGATTAGAACAATTAAACTAATGGCCGGAATAATCAAGGCTGTTAAAGCAGCTGCCAGTCATCACATCAGAGTCAGGGTGAGTAAAAGTCAAGTGCATCCCTGGAGGCTGCAAACTGCCTTAAGAATTATGTTATATGAAGAAATTCAGGACTGTCAAGCACAACATGCTAGTGCCCACTCAGCCATGAATGAAAGGTTTAACTTTTCTTTACAGAGCTGCTCACAAAATAAAACTCAAACATAACCAGCAGATTCTGTTATGAGAGGCACTAAGTTAATCAGGCCCAGTACCTGATGTGTATGTTTGCTCCAACTGCAAGACATTATTTACGCCTAAAAGACTAAAGTCTAACTTAAAGACTTAGCTGCTTAGGTCTAGAAAGAACTGCAAAAGAATAGCATAATCTAAAGTCATTGTACAACCTGAACTGCATAGTGGGACCCTGTCTCAAAAAGACCAAAAAAAAATCTCATTTATTTAAAGTCATTATAAAATTCTAGAACTGAAATGTTCCTTAACCATCATGAGTTATGGGAGTGACTGCTTAAATGCCAGCTTTTCTGCCTGTGATGCAATATAGTAAGAGGCAGCGCGTGCAGTGATAAAGAGCAAAGGTCTGAGTTCAAATACCAACTCTGCCACTTAGCAGCTGCGTGATCTTGATCTGGTTGCTTCAGCTTTCTGTGTCTCAGTACCCTCACCTGTGAAATGAGGACTACCTACCCCATAAGGTTACTGTATAAGTTAAATGAACATATATATAAATTTAGAGTAGCACCCAGTACATTTATGTTGTACATGTGTATGTGTTATACATATGAGTTAGTTGTCACTTAACACATCTCAAAGAATGCCATGCTCAAGTGTAACCTCTGGGATTATCTCCGCAGGGATTATCTCTACATTCCTTCATGTTCACCCATTTGGAGCAAGCATTGAATACATTTGTTCCTACTTGCACCGTCTTGATAATAAGGTATGTGGGGCCTGAAGGGGGAAACACAGTGGATGGAGGTCTCTTTGTGACCTTACTTTCCTCAGGCATAAATAAGCTATTACTTATTGATATAAGGAAGTTTCTCTCACTTGCTATCTCACTATGATTCAGTGAGCTTCCCTCTTGCAAGAAGGATGACCAACTGTCCACACTGGTGTAGGACTGAGGAATTTCCTTCCACTTGAGACTTTCAGCGCTAAAACCATGAAAATCTAGGGCAAGGTTGAATGAGGAATGAAGGTTGAATGAGGCCACCATACTTCAAGATACATGGGCGAAGAATTTTCCTCCCTTCTCTTGATTAACATAGCAACTGCAAATTAACCAGCTTTCCTGCCCATCCAACTCTTGTCCTAGACCCCTTATCCATGAGCAAATGTTGATTTTCAAAATTTGAAGGCTTATTGAAAATATGCCTCCCACCATCACCAATGTATTATCTACTATGAAACAACTGAGGCAAGGACAAAAAGTGATGAAACAAGAAGCTGAGGGTTTCAGCCAAGCCCTGGTGCCCAGGCTCAAGTTAGGAAGGTGGCTACTAATGCAAAGATGACTACCTAAAACAAACCCTAAAAGAGTCTACACATTTGTTGTTGTATTAAGGTGGTGCTGGGTATGTGTCTGTCTGTGCATGAAGTGAGCAAAGAGAAACAGTGCATAGAAGTAGGAACACAGAGCACTGCACACCCCTCTTACTCTGAAAGTGAATGCATGTATGTCTTGGTTACTCTTCTCTCGTTGCTGGGACAAAATACCTGACGTCCAAAATTAAGGAAGGAAAGGTTTATTTCGCTTACAGTTTGTGGAGGTTTCAGTCCATACTTGGCCGATTACAAGGCAGAGTGGCACGTGGCAGAGGGCTACAGCTGATGGCGGCAGAACACAGCAAAGCAACAAGCACGTACCAGGGCGGAATGGCCTCAAGCACCCTTTTCCTCTCCCTTACATATGCAAACTATCCACCCCAGCGTGGGTGTAGCTCTCACACCCATAATCAATCAAACTATAAAAGCCTGCCCCATGACTGCATGAGGCTTTGAGGGGACACACAGACACAAACCATAACATTCCACCCCTGGCCCCCAAAAGACTCATGCCCATCCCTTTATACAAACAGCATTTAGTCCATCTGGAAGAGTTGCCAATGTCCTAACAGTTTCAGCATTGCTGACAAGTCCAAGTCCCAAGTCTCCTCCAAGATGTAAGGCAAAATCTCAGTCGTGAGCCCCTGTACAAATGAAAAGTTAAACATTTCCAACATTCAATGGCACAAAATAAGCAGTACCATTCCAAAAGGTACAAACAGGGGGACATAGAGCATTTGGACCAAAGCAAGTCCAAAATCCAGCAGGGCTAACGTTATGTCCTGTAGTTCCATGACCAGCATCTGAAGCAATCTGTGGCACACTGTAAGCTCCAAAGGGCTTGCATGAGTCCACCCCTATGGCACTTCTGGTGGTTATAGCTTCCATAGCTTCTCTCTTAGGCCTGCTTTGTTCCCTCCTTGCAGCTTTCCTTAGATGATCCACGGTCCTGGCTTTTTTAAATTTCTGAGGTCTCCAGCACACCTTTTGCTTCACACTCATAGCCTCACACACTGCCCTCTCAGGGGCACGCTGCCTGGCCTCCCAGGCCTTCTGAAATCTGGGTGGAAGCCTCTTAAACCTCAGAATTCTTGCATTCTCGATGCACCTAAGCCAGGGCAATGGGGATGATGCCAAGGTCTGCTGCCACCTGGAGCAGTAGCCAAGTTTTCCTCTCTCTTGGCCACAGGGGTGGAGTGCCTGGATCTCTGGGCACTCTGAGTACAATTCTGAGGAACAGATCCTCTATACTGCCGCCATTCTGGAACCTGGTACGGCTGCCGCCACCATTCTGGAACATGGCACTCAGCAGCATTTTTCTCAAAGCAAGGTCTTTCACCTTTGCCGTTTTGAGGCTTCAAAGGGTGGACACTTGCTGCTTCTTGTGATACCCTCAGGCCATCTTTTTTATTTTCTTGTTCCTTCTCAGCAACAGAGATCTCCTCAGCTCTACCTTTGCAGTCCACAGCTTTACAGGAGCTTCCTTTCTGGCCAAACTCACAACATTTTAAATCACCCTGCTGGGCTCTTTGTTCTTGATTCTCAATATAAATCTGGCTAAAAGCCCCCAACAAGAGCCATGCCACTGCCCCAACATTCAACTGCCTTGATATTTCTTTTGCCAGATTAATCAGTCCACTGCCGCCCTTAATCTCAGTCTTAGGCAAAGTCTCTGGACAGGAGCAAAATGCAGACAAACTTTCTGCCAAGCCATAACACACATCATCTGGAGCCCAACAACCAATGCAGTCCTTCTTCCCAACAGAAACCTCCCAAACCCGGTCTTTATGGGCAGGATTTTTATCAGTCTTCTGGGCTTCTGAGCTCTGACCACAATCGCCCAGACAGAACAGCCGAAGGTGTTCTAGTGCTTCTCTTTCAGGCGACAGCTCCAAACCTTTCCAAACACTTCCCACAAGCCATTTCCAAAGGCTCTTGAACCACATGGTCAAGTATAGTCACAGCAACAACCCCACTCCTCTGGTACCAAATTCTGTCTTCTCTCGTTGCTGGGACAAAATACCTGATGTCCAAAATTAAGGAAGGAAAGGTTTATTTTGCTTACAGTTTGTGGAGGTTTCAGTCCATACTTGGCCAATTACAAGGCAGAGTGGCACGTGGCAGAGAGCTACAGCTGATGGCGGTAGAACACAGCAAAGCAACAAGCACGTACCAGGGCGGAATGGCCTCAAGCACCCTTTTCCTCTCCCTTACATATGCAAACTATCCACCCCATCGTGGGTGTAGCTCTCACACCCATAATCAATCAAACTCTAAAAGCCTGCCCCATGACCGCATGAGGCTTTGGGGGGACACACAGGCACAAACCATAACAATGTGTGACAGATCCTGCCTCTTTCCCCTCCTAAAAGACTTGGCAACTTCGGTGGGCCTCACATAGCGTCACCGACACTGAGCAGCCATCATTAAGCTGACTATACCCAGACCTCTCCATGTAACGGATAACAGCTCTTTCCAACAGAAGCTCAGTGAGCAGTGACTGGTGATCACAGCAGAGGAACACCACTGTCTGAAAGCCACTCTCCCAGCACACATAAATGCACAAGGGGGAGAGCAGGGCAAGTCGTACACACACTCCTAACATGCACATACACACACCATAATCATCATCATCCTAAATAGGCAGCACTAGGAAACAAGACACAATTGAGAGCATGAAACTGCTCTAAAATGGAGGGTATGCTCTCTGCCCTCCAGATCTGCACTACTGATGTGGAATGCCTCATGAGCAGACTCCAGCACACCTTCAAGCAGGAAATGACAGGAGTTGGAGCCAGTCTGGAGAAGAGATGGAAATTCTGTGGCTTTGAGGGCTTGAAACTGACCTGAGTCTCTTTGCCTACCAACTTGGGATCCTGAAAATAAGTATGTGTTGGACAAGCTTACGAAGTGATTTGTATTTTCAATGATTTTCAAGTGGAAGTTGCTTTAAATTTCTCAGTTCATTCCTGGAATATCTTTTGAGTTGAAATAAGGATCCTAGAACATCACCTCCAGCTACAGGCTCTAAGAAGAAATTGCCTCAAAATTCAAGTGCTGTAACTCCCTCCCCTTTCTGGCAATTGGTTGTCTTTCCTTGTTAGTAGAATTGAAAAAGTCCTGAGACTAAAAAGTATTTGGAGTGTTTTCAGTATCTGTACTACTGTTCTAGACCTTGGTATTTTTGTTAAGAAAAAAAACCTGTTACCTGAAATGTTTTAATGATTTGTATGTGATTTGTGTTTCCAAACTTTTCACGTTAATGTTGCTGCTACTGGCAATAGGAGTAAGAGGAGCGCTAGGTACTCTGTGTAACTGCCATTGTCTTTCTAATCTCTAGTAGACCAGTAAATAAATAACACATCAGTGTCTTCTAGGTGGTGCTTACCAGGTTGACCTTTGAAAAAACAAAGCATGGTTTGTGGCTTTTTGCAAAATTACTGTGAACCAAAAGTTGACAAATGTTCCAAAGTTATTTTCTCCAATAGATAAAAAGGTCTATTTCAGAATTAAAAAAAAATAAATCTAAATATCTTTACAGACAGCAAGTATTCAGTATGACCAGCATGTGTTTGTGCTATTCAAAATCTCATGTAAATAGTCTGCTTTTACGGGAGGGCATGATTAGTTTTCTATGAATTAAACACATTCGTGTGTGACCACTTGTGCACACACATTAGCAGGAGAAAGTTATTTTAATACTCTCTCCCCTCTGGCCTTCTGAAGTCTGTTGGTCCCTTTTTTCTGCTGTCGGTGTATCAAACTGCAAACTGTGTACTGCTGTAAATACTCCGTTTACTTCTTGCTGAATATTTGTAAAGAGTTGATATAAGTATTAATGGGAATGAACTAATGGGTAAATAATGGGCCAGAGTGTGTGAGGCTTCCTACAAAGTGGTCTGCAGCATCTGGAGTGCTGATTGCTGGGGATGCATCCAATTCTACAGTGCCCAAACAGCAGCTTGCAAAGGTGGCGTGGAAGTGGACCGTTGAAGAAGTTCTGCTTGGTAGAAGAGGAAAGGGGTTTGAGGCTAATGCCTGAGGCAGAGAGTGTTTTATTTATTTATTCCTGTGGTAGTAGCAGTGGAGCTTAAAACACGAGCGTGCCCTTCCTTGAACTGCCTCGAAGGTGAGAGGATGCACTGAGTAAGCAAAGCCGATGCAGAGTATTTCGCAAAAATACTTTGTAAATGAGGTGCCAGTAGTGTTCAAAGTTGTATTTTTAAAAGATAAATATTCCTTTTTTATACCTCAGTTTGTGTTTTGTTTTGAATAAATTTCTAAGTGACCCTTTAGTAGATTATCTCAGTTTCTCCCTTTGTTACCAGGATGTTGGAAGAAGATGCTAGCCCTACTTGACAACTAGAAACAGCTTTCCTTAGTAGCCCATTCCTGCCAAAGTTGGCTTCCCCTCTAGCACCCCACTGTGGCCCCAGAGGAAGCTTGGGTTATTTTTACAGTAGCCTCCTCTCTGAAGCATCTCTGTCATCAACACAGTGGAAGATGTTGATTCACCAGCCTCAGGCTCCTAGAATGCCTTCTTTCAATAATATCTAGGAAATTGAGGCAAATTTTCCACTTACCAGTTATTCCATATTTAATTAAGTTAAATAAAACTAAATTTTAAGATAACAGCTGCCCAACCTAAATACCTCACTCTCCTTTACTTTATTTATATTGCAAACTGTTTCTATTGCACCTGGCACTTTGGTCCAGGGAGGTCTCTCAAGGTCCTGAATGTACTAGCTGTGACGGTTAATTTTGTGTGTCAACTTGACCACTTCTATGGTCCCACACCAGTATAGAGGTTGGTGTGAGGATATTTTTCAGATGTGATTAACATGTAAGCCAATTAACTTTGAGTAAAGTAGATTACCCATGAGAATGTGAATGGGCCTCATCTAATCAGTTAAAGGCCTTAAGAGGAGAAACTGAGGTCCCCTGAGTCATGAATTCTGCCTCCAGGATACCTTCAGACTCAGAACTGAAAGATTAACTCCTGCTGTCCTGCCAGAAATTTCCAGCCTGCTGGCCAGCCCTCAAACTTGGCAGCTCCCAAATGACAGGAGCCAGTTTCTTAGTTTCCCTCCCTCCCACCTCCTTCCCTCCCCCTCTCCTCATCTCATTGGTTCTGTTTCTCTGGAGAACCCTGATTAATACACTCCAGACTTGTTATGATGTATAAGAACAGAGATGTTTGCATTCTACTACATAATCAAATTGCAGCAACTGCCATTTCTCACAATTCTTTACATTCAACATCAGGATTTATTAATGAAGCTATTTTTCTTTCAAACTTCTCAGTGCTATTTATGGCTCTGGTGTTCCTCCATAATTTTGAAATATTGCTGTTTTGTTATTTTTATGAGATACAGCTGTTAGATATTTGCCAGAAAATAATGAATAGAAGTTTCCTCTTATTTTACAAGTGGTTGTTTCAGCTCCCTCCCTCGTCCTGCGATATCTCTAGATCTGATTTTGTAATATTGCCAAGCTGCCTGTTAAGCATCTTTATGCAAATGAATAAGTTATTTTTTAAAGAAAATTAGACACATATCTGTGTTCCACGTTATATAGAGATTTTTTTTTTTAATTTGGGCCCCAGGGACATGGTGACACATGCATGTGATCCCAGCACTTAGGAGGCTGAAGCAGGAGGATCACCATGAATTTGAGGCCAGCCTTGGCTACATAGTGAGTTCAAGATCAGCCTGAACTGCATCATGAGTCTCTGTCTCAAAAAACAACAACAAAATAACATGTGGATCTCAAAATGTGTGGTTTCCATATAGTACAGAATAAACTATCGTTTGAAAGGGCAGTGTAAATGTGCAAGAACCATCAACTCACCCAGTAGAACTGTGTAAACCCTTGGGATTCTCAGATGCCTAGAACAGTGCATCACATACATCTGCCTCCACTTTTCTCCACAATTGCTACCATCTGCCGAGCACCTATTCTGTGGTCATGCTGCCCAGATCACCTCCAGGTTACATGGTCACAACGAAAGACTGAGTTTCCTTATAGACAAAATTAAGGAGAATTCATACCTACCCCAAAGAGTGGTAGGAAAGAATTAATAAAATAGGGTCTGCAGACTGCCTGGCCAGTCTGTTCCACAATGAGTTCTCAACAAAGAGTTATAGTAATGATTATGTTCAGCCAAAGTTCCTGATCTTACCCACATTTAAAGACATGTTTTACATTCACACCCGCAGTTGTGGGGTACATCATGTTAGTGGGCCTCAAGAAGGAAAATCGGCCTCTGAAAACCTATTCCACACATTTACCCGATTCCACACACTCTGCCAGACACTAGAGGATACAAAAGGAGTAGGGCCGGCCCTTGCCTTTTAGAAGCTAGAAGGGCGGCTTTTAACACATTGAGTCTAAGTCCTTCACTCTTTAGTGAAAACCATAAAAACTCAATGTAAAAATATCCAGTATTTACCAGCGATGAACAGTTTTGATGAAGTGGGAATGATGTCGGGCTCTTCAGACCTAAACTATCACTCTCAGTGCCTTCACCCTGCCTGCTCCCCCAAGTGTAAGTTCTGTGACAGTGTGGTCCTCATTTTCGCTGTTCACTGTCACATCCCCAGAGCCTGGGACATTGAAAGTGCACAATAAATGTTTTGTAAATGAGTATTTGCATAGCATGTTAGCTCCATGCAACTAATGATACATAACAAGAGTTATCTTAGTTACTCATTGCTGAAGCAAAATACCAACACCCCAAATTAAAGGAAGAAAGGTTTATTTCAGCTCCTAATTTGTAGAGGTTTCAATTTGTAGAGTTTTGTATTTTGTAATTTGTAGAGTTCATAATCGGCTCGCCACAAGACAGGATGGCATGGCAGAGGGGTTTTGGAGAGGAGAAACAGTCCATGGCATTGCAGGGCTGGCGGAAGCAGCAAGCAACAGCATCATCAGAAGCAGCCTGCCTTTTTTCTGTCCCTTTATATTCCATCCAGGCTATCCACTCTTTGGGTAGTACCACCCATACCCAGGGTGGGACACCCTTAATCCTAGCCTCTCACCCTTAATCCCGGTATCATACCCTCTCTGAAAAGCCCCTCCTACCAGTGCATGAGGCTTTGAGGAGACATCTACATATAAGCCATAGCAATAAAAGTTAACATTGATCAGTGAGCCCCACAAACAAGGATACAAATATAGGATAGATTAATGATAGATAAAGATATTTATTCATTCACTTTACTACAATGTGAAAAGTAGATGATATTCACCCCTGCTTCAGCTGAGACTTGAAGGTATAAAGTAACTTGCTTAAATTTTGAAGAGGCAGAGATGAGTTTTAAATCCTGGTCTTTCCAACTGCAAGCTCAAAATTTTCTACTGCTCAAATATTTTATTTAACCATAAAATCAACCTAATTGGTAAGTATTGTTATAAACCCTACATTGTTCATTTATGTGCCATTATAAAAGCACCTGTTATGTGCAAGTCTTGACCCTAAAATTTAAGGGGTGAACACAGTGTGATTCCTTCCCTCAAGAGCTGATGTTTCTGTGGGAGACCCTGCTCAACCACTATCTTGTATCAGGTATCTATCATTAATCTATCCTATATTTGTATCCTTGTTTGTGGGGCTGTATTGTCCCTGTATTGTTTCAGGGACACAAATGTTAGGGAGCTTGACAGATGGGTAAGAAGAGAAAAATAGGCTCAAGGAAGTTTGATTACTTGAGCTAGGTACACAGCAGTATATGACAAAGCCCAGAAGCTGAATGCAAGTTAACCTGGCTTCAATTTGTGTTCTTCCTATTATACCATGGTGTCCTGGGTCACTTCTAACACTGTCACTTAACTTCTCTGAGACTTTTTATGTTCATGTATAAAGGAAAAGTCTAGCCATGCATGGTGGCACATACCTGCAGTGCCAGCACTCGGAAAGCTGAGGCAGGAGGATTGCTACAAGTTTGAGGCCAGCCTAGACCACATTGCAAGACCTTGACTTTTAAAAAATGGTGGAAATGTAAGCATATTTCATTCAAAGAATTGTTGGTGAGTCTCTTCTCAATATAAAGTGCCTGACAGGGTGCTACCAACTCTGAAAGACTCCAGAGCTACCTTTACAGTATTGGGAACCCCATAGGGTCACACAGTAACTTGAAAAAAGAATGAGACCTGCTAGCTTACAAAAATTCAGGTGACTTTTCTGACCAGTGCTCCATGAGAGTAGGTGAAACTTCTTCTGCTGTCTTCAGAGATAGTCTCAGCATCATTCCAACTCAGGTCCTCTCTTCAAAGCACAGGCTGCATCCCATTAGCAAAGAAGCCAGAAGGGCTTTCCATCACCCACATCCCAAGATCCAAAAAAGCATCCCAGTTATTTAGTTTGACAGTAAGCTTTAAAGATCACAGCTTGCCTAAATTTTCTATCTGGGAAGAAGATCTCAAAAGCATACTGATGCAATTAATTATTAGGGCAAGAGAAGAAAAGAAATTGATTACACACAGGTATGAGCCCTTCAAGCTATAGAGCCTTATGGAGACAACGTTAGATCTTAGGTAGAAAATGTTACGCTGGACATATTAAAGCATGCTGTGCCCAACTGCAGTCATTTCAAGTACGTGTGAATAAAGTACCCAAAAAGTAACAGTTGCCTGTGGCACCAGACCTCTGAAACCTTAACTCATTAATGTTCCTCAATAAATACAAGATTTTCAAGCAACTTGATGCACAGGGGTTCTATCATTTGATCTTCACAGTGCCCTGTGAGCTCTCAAGGGAAAGTGGCTTACTCAGCATTAGTGCGGCTAAGGAAAGCAAGTCTCCCAAGGACAAAGACTTAGTCTTCAAAGGACAGAAACAGGTCGTACCACTAAGTGAATGATGGAGCTGGGAAGGCAATGCAGGATTCCTGAGTCCTCCCGATCTCCAGCCCACTTCATCTGCAGTCTCTGCCTAGTATGGCTGAGAGAATATGGAATAAGTGTTCTTAACATTTTTCGATCTCGTGGACCTCTTATCAGAATAATCCTAAAACCATGAGATAAAATACAAATGAAACCAATTATATTGAAATAAAACACTTATCAAAAAATGTTAACCATGGGATTAATTTTATTAAACACATTTATGCTTATAAATTGCTTTGAAAAGTGTCCATGACATGGTAAGATCTACATAAACATTTATTGGATAAAATCTATTTTAAACAATGAAACTCTTAAACAATCGAAATACTGATTCTGTGCACATTCTAAGTCAATGCATAAGTGGCAGGAGGCCCCCGCAAGCTTGTATTTCTGCGTGAAAAAGTGACAGATGAGCTTCAATGTGAGCAAGGATAAAGTACTGTGCTTAAGAGAAAATGAGCCAAATGCTATTCACAAGATGTTAGCCTCTAACCGATCAGTTCTGGCACAGATAAGGGACCTAGGAGTTGCTGGAAAGAAGTCCCTGAAGACATCTGCCCAGTGTGTGGTTGGAATCACTAAAAGGCAACAAGTTCTAAATACAGTAAAAACCAAGAAAGGAACAAAACATAAGGTGTTATCTTATCCCGTCTTACATAAGTTTTGTACCCATGGCAGTAAAACTGTGTTTCATGTGTCTGGTCCTTAAGACATGAAGTGTAACATTTCAGTTCACATGTTGTTCAAGTGCTTACTCTGCCCAGAACATTGTGGCAGCCAGTGAGGGATGCAAAGATGAATGTGACATGCTGAAAAAATCAAGGGGTGGGGGTAAGTTTTAATACATTAATAAAATATGTCTACCCCTCTGAACCAGAACCAAATAGGCTGGGAAAGAAAAATCTGGAACACTTCATCCAATGTGTTTGACATAATATAAATACTCCTGACTCACAGTGGTATCATATCTTGATAAAGTCATCATAAATGGAAAATACCAGAAGTGAAAGTGCATTTAACCTACTTAGCCCACGGAACAGCCCAGCTTACCAACACTGCACACTGCAAAGGAGTTGTTGACCCTCGTAACGGCATCACTGATGGAGCCATGGCTCCCACTGCCAAGCATCACAAGGGGAGATAATGCATGTTGTTAGACCAAGAAAAAAGATCCAAATCCAAATCGGAAGTGGTTTCTATTGAATATGTAGTACTTTTCCACCATTATAAAGTCCAAAATGGTAGAGTCTAACCATAGCAAGTTGAAGACTATCTGTACAGCTCACTCTCTTTCGCTCTGTATGTATGTTTGCACATCACACATGCAGCAATCTGTGCTGGACTTGATAATGCCAGTATTACAATAATGTCTTGCTTATTCAGCAGAAATTTATGTCTGGGGATTTAACTCATATGAGTTTACCAGGTGACTAAAACATGATCTTTCTATTACCAATCTCTCTCTCTCTCCCTCTCTCTCTCCCTCTCTCTCTCCCTCTCTCTCTCTGTCTGTCTGTCTGTCTCTCTCTCTCTCTCTCTGTGTGTGTGTGTGTGTGTGTGTGTGTGTGTGTGTGTGTGTGTTACACTAGGGATGGAACCCAGGGGCCTTCTGTCTTGAGCTACATCTCCAACCCTTTTCACTTTTTTATTTTGAGATAAGGTCTCATGAAGTTGCCCAGGCTGGCC